GCATTCCAGATCGGCGTAGACGATGAACGGCACTCGTTCTTGATTGTTATAGTTGTCGAATTCGAGCCACTTGTCGTCCTCGCTCGGCAGTCGGATGGCGCAGTTGATGATCTTCTGGCAGTGCACTTCGTGCGACTGCAATTTTTCGCACGAACTGAAGTAATGAAAACATCTGCAAATAATAAAGAAATTTTTTCTATTTCTTTTTACTATTTTTATTGACTATTTTTTAATACTCTTACCGATCAAAAATATTTCCTGCTCTCGTTCCCAATAATTTGTGATCTTACAAGGCGGGATAGATTTTTTTATCCCATGCAAAGTGTCTAATGTTGTCGTTGCGTGAATGTTGTAGGTACAGGAGTACCTGGATGACATGCTTCTCCTTCTTGTCATTGGTGAGCCGCAGAGAAAAGACTTGTCTATTTTCGATGCTGTAGACATTGATCGACACCGCTTTCAACTGTTCGAATTTCGGAATGTTTTTTAATGTTATTGGAAATTCGATACCCGCGAGATTTAATACTGCTACGTGCGGGTATGATGATTCCCGATTTACATGTGTTTCTGCGGCGTACAGAGCAGCGACCAGCGACCACGCGAAACATGCATTGTACGTCGAATAAACATTGATCACCACTCGTTTCGTCACTATTTCTCGTGGCACTTCGATGTGACATCCCGCGTGCATTGGATTATGCTTATTCACATTCACTATCAAATTGAGGATTCGCGACAATGCCTACCCGCTGTCGCATTCCTGGAATTCTTCGAGCGATGCTAGGATAGGCTCGACGATGTGTCGCTCGTACCATTCGCGCATATCGGTATATCTCGCTGTTCTTTGTAATTATGCTCTTATTAGCACGTTTATCCTTCATCACAAACTCGCCATTGAACGCGGCATGTTCACTTTTACACTGCCGTGTCTTTCTACAGCGTCTTGCACTCGCTCGAGCACTACATCGCCAGCGTCTTCTAAAAACCGCCGCGGCTCGATTAGAGTTTATCACCGCACCTGCCAATATACGATTCTCAAATCGCGGCATCGATCTCTCGCCAGACAAGAGATCGTTCGTTGCCACTCGCGTATTCGCCACTCGTGTACTCGCCACCAATGTGCACGAAACGTCGCTCCAATTCCACCTTTGCACCCGCGAGTCGCGCGATCCTCGCCACCGCGGATTGTCTGTATCCAATGGCGCGACAAAGCTCTTCGAGCTGCTCAATGCATTCGTCGCATCGTTGCAGTCATGAGAAACATTCCACCGGAGTAGCGATCTGGCCGCACTATCCAACAGTTCGTGTTCCACTTGCTTGTGGTTTTCCATGTTTTTTTTTTAATGTATGCAAAGTGGACACATGTTGCACGAGAATATAATGTACAAAGATAGTCTGCAATTCGTGTACGACCTGCCGTCTAGCCTATCGAAAGAACCGGTTTCATGCATCCTGACGTGATACATTCCTCCATCGTTAATGTCAACTATACGAATCATACATGATGTGCATACAGTTAAAGAACCTTATGCACATCAAGTATAATAATTGTGTCACACAGTGCTTAGGGAGCATTCAATGTACGAATTTCTGGAGACGACACGAATTTTTCTACGCGATCCATTTCATACTCGCTCATATCACTAGCACATCAAGTATCATCGGATAGTATTTCTTCGTCGGACGACTCTTGGTCCATTACAATATATTCTCAAAGTCTACTTCCACTTCATCAAACACTTCGTCTCTAATATTCGCGAACTGTTCCTCATCCACATTTCTAATATTATATATTCTGCTACGTCGACTCAGTCCTCAGTGTTACGGATGTTCTCAAATTCTACATCGTCTATTATGTCCTCAAATTCTATTTCCAATGCTTCAAATAACTTGTCTGCATTTACACCATGCATGTCCTCAACGTCTGTATGATATCAGCCGTACTTTTCTCATTACACTTATTGCGATTCAGTAATTTTTAAAAACGTCAACTGAGATGCCGCGCGCTTATATTTGCGACTTCTTTGTCCCTTTGTCTACCCTCCCTATTGAGTTGCAGCATCGACGTGTCACCGATTTCTTCTTATAAAAAAAAATATCGTTATCGGTTTCTCTCTCTTAACGCATTGTGCGAGAGCGAACCAGAGCGAGAGCGCTGATCGTGAAATTTTTAAAGTGATGCGGCGTTTGTCTTACTGTCTTTCTCGCTAGTTTAAATCCGGCTCGAAGGACCAGAAAATGTGCGAGAGCGCACCGCGCGGACAGATTCGAGTGAGAAAACGGCACAAGGTTGATATGATGCACGACAGTGAAGAGAACTCCGTTTCATTTAATTTAACAAAAGAATTTCTTTAATGTATTCAGTTACAAAGTCAAAAGATATAATTAATTAAAGATCAGATTAACAGAATATTAAATGCGGTCACCTTTTCCAAATTGAGCTTGGAATCGCGGTGATGGAAAATCTCGGCGATTTTCCTCGAAGCTTCTCGAAAGATTCGGTTATAGCGATTTCACTAAACGGTTAGCACGGCGATTTTACGAAGCGCGACTATGACTCTAAGAACTCTAAGAACTTTTTGGAAGTAAGTAGGAGGACGGCGAGATCGAAGCATTTATTGCTTTCGGCCTGAGCTTTCCCTTTTGGGAAAAATCCAATAAAAATTTGCCACAATCGTAATTATTACGTGGCATTAGGTGTACAAAATTGATTGGCGCTTTGGATTCTTTTCTAGCGACGTTCAACGTAACAGTCGTGCGCGACAGAAAATCCGTGCGTGGGATTGGTGACAGCGCGTGACGTATTCGTCGGAGCGCGGCGCTCGCGTGCGCGAATTGAATTGTTCTAGAACCTTCGATTGTCCGTTGCCGGTAACGACAACTTGTTTGCGTGTAACGAATTGTTTTTAAAAGGAACAAAGAACGACGAATTTGATGATTTTAACGAAGATTAAAATCATGTTTGAGATGAAATCACGAGCTCAATTTGTGCATGCGTTCAATGACAATTAATGTCGATCGACTGAAAGAATTCTTGCTTTTCTTTCGAATTACCGATCTCGAACACGCATCGCGATGTGTCACCCGATCTCACGGTTCTTCCTAGATAAATATCATTATCGACGTTTCTGACCTTGAAAGAAAGAATTATAAGAATGCAGTATGATTTCATCATCTATCCCTCATTGAAGGCGCTTTGTGTAGCAACCGATACATCGATGATGTGTCACCGATCTCCTAGACAAAAGTCCACGTTATAGTATCGCGACGCATTTTTGGAATGGGTGTTGGGGTGGCGGCGGTGATCCCGCAACGCATTTTTGGGATAGACGCGGGGTCCACTGCGACAATTCGAAACGCACTTTAGGATGAACGCGAGGTCCGCGACGGCGGTGGTGGCGCTGGTGCCTGCGGCGGGGTGTGGGGTGGCGGCGGTGGCGGCAGCGTCTGCGGCGATGGGGTGTTGGGTGGCGGCGGTGGCGGCAGTCCCAATAATACGTGACATCACAACATGGCAATACGTATCATCATATCAGTAAACACCGATAACGCTGGGACTCATCATATCAGTAAACACCGATAGCGCCGGGACTTCTCGCGCCTCCCCTCCCTTCCCCGCGCCTCCCTCAGAGGATCTGGGTTAGAACCGCCACTATTATACTACTTGTTAACAATGTGTAAAAAATTTGATATAAACAATTTCCGCCAAGTTAACTTTATATATTATTCGTAAAAAAGATTTTATATCAATAACTGGCTCCAAGTTAAGTCCCAAAGTAACAGCTTTATGGATTGTATTCTTATTTAATTTGATATGGGATTTAACTTGTCGCAAATTATTGATATCAAATCTTTTATACAAATGATATACCCATAAAATTTTGTGGAATTTATCTTGGTGCCAATTGTTAACATAAAATCTTTTATACGAATAATACATATCATTAAATTTAAGTAAATAGCGAAGATAGTATCATTTAGATTTTACTTCTTGATTTGACAGAATTTAACATGCGTTACATTCCGATAAAATCCTCTCTTTCCTTATTATAAATATATGATTTATACCTTATCTTTATCTTATTTCTAGTTTAGTATTTTGTCTTGATTTTGATATTTTGTCTCTATTTTATCTTTATTTCGAAGCCTTTTATATATCATAAAATATCCCTTTTATAAGAGTATTTAGTTTTTTTATTTAAACATTCAAACCAATAGATAGCTCACGTTTGTATACCCTTATGCGTCATATAGATAAAAAATATCTATTCTACAATCTTTCTTTTCTTTTGAAGATCCTTTTTTTAAATATTAATTAAACAATAACCTACAATAATAATTAAGTAATATCATATTAAGTAGTATTATATATTAAGATCTTTTCGAATGCGAGACTGAATATCTTTACTTTTTCTTACTTTTTTTTCTTTTTCCCAATAAAATTTTTTATGTTTCTTGGTTGATAATTGAAAGAAACACAATGATTATCAATAAGAGTGATAACTTTATTTGTATATATAATATATATTCTAAAATATATTGGATAAGGTGAACGAAGCGTGTAAGTTGAGTCCGTTTTTGTTCTCGTTTTTGATGCTGCTCTCTGTCTTATTTGGCGGCAACACTTCTCTTTCTTTTTAAAGAACATCCTACATCCTCGTATCATATTGGAGGGCGTCTCTTACGACCAGAGTGTCTGAGTGGCTGTAATAGTAGACCTGAAACAAACTCTTGGTTAATTGTAGGACAGTCAATGTCGGAGATGTCCAGAGTTGCGAACAACCTCTAAAGTTGTCATCTCTGGTTTAGCTTGCCCTTCAATTGAAAGAACAAAGGTCTCCAATAAAATGTCTAATGGCATCTGATTATCTTGTGGAGATTCTTTAATTCCAACAGAAAAAGGGGGTCTCAATTGATTTGCGTGAGTCCTGATTAAGCGTTGTTTCATCTGGACTATTATATAAAACTCGTCTGATGCGTTCTATAATTTTTCCTGGAAATCATTTCCATTTGTTGTTATTACAGATCTTGACTTCTGAATTTACTCCAAATGCCTTGGGTTTTACTCCATGTTTGCGGTTGAACTGTTGTTGTTGACGTAGTTTAATGTCGTCTTTCTGTGATTGTTGTCGGATGGGTAGTTTAAGTAAATCCAGAACTGTGTACATAAGTCTGCCCATCAGTGCCTCAGCAGGAGAGACTTTGTTAGGAACGTTTACGTTAGGTGTGGATCTATATTGTCTGAGAAATGTAGATAATTGGTTGCGGATGTTCTTCCCGTCGGTGAATTTTTTGAGTCCCCTCTTAAAGGTATCCACAAATCTCTCGGCCATTTGAGCTGGGAAAAGGCGATGTACGTAAGTATACCGTATGATAGACAAAATGATTGGAATGTTTCGGAAATAAACTGAGTTCCATTATCGGTAACCAGAGTTTCCCGTATAGAGTTACCGAAACGAGCGAAAATATCCTCCATAATTTCGATAGTTGCGTTGAACTGTGATTTGGTTGGATAAATTTCTGGTCATTTTGAAAAAGCGTCGACAATGATTAGATAATATTCCCCGTTGATGGGTCCAGCATAATCTGCGTGAAGACGTCAAGGATACGTAGGTGTATGCCAGCTTAAAAGTGGAACTTTAATTGGGGATTTTGCAGCTAAAGCGCAGTTATGACAAACCTTGACGAACTGCTCGATTCCCTTATCTATCCCAGGCCAATATATATAAAAACGTAATGGCCTTCATGTGTTCCATTCCTGAATGTCCTTTGTGCAATTGTCCGAGAATGGGTCCTCAATATTGAGCCGGAATTATGAGTCGTTCCTTGAATAGCAATTTTGTACTATTGGAAGAGTTTCTTTGCGATTGAAAAAGAGCTTGAAGTCTGAATGAGATGCCACAGATGTTGGCCAGTTTGAAGTTGTGTAAGCAATAACCTGCTGTAAAATCATATCTTGTTCTGTAGCTATTTTTATTTTATCAAATGTTATAGGAATGAATTGTAGTGAATCCTGTAAAACTGTGAATATCTCTTCCTCCATTGTGACTGAAGCGATGACGAAGTCCTCTTCTGGTTTGTGATAATTGTTGATCAGACGAGATAACATGACCAAATTCAGACGTTTTGACATATTCGATTTCAAAATCATAGGCAAGTAATTGGAGTGCCCAACGTTGAAGTCGATTAGCAGTGTACACCTTTCTTGTTTCTGAAAATCATCATAAGAGGCTTATGATCTGTCTGAAGGGTGAACTTGAGTCCAAATATCATTTTGTGAAATTTCGTGACAGCAAATATTAATGCAAGGCCCTCTTTCTCGATTTGATTATATTTTTTTTCAGATTCTGTGAGATTTCTGGCAGTGTAATTAATTATTTTGACTGAATTATCAGGAAATCTATGTAGAATGCAGGCACCAATATTATATTGAAAAGCATTAGCAGCTACAATGATTTCATGCTTTGGATCGAAATGAGTGAGAAGCAATTTGGATTGGAGAATTTGTTTGAACTGTTCAAATGATTCTTGGTTCCAATTCCATTTTGTATTTTTTCAGAAATTGATCCAAAGGTCGTCACAAAACATGTATATTTGGAATAAAGCGTCCGTAATAGTTTATAGCACTTAAAAAAAGAATGTAGTATAGTAAGATCTATAGGTGCAAGCATATTGACAATCGAAGAAATTTTTTTAGGATCTGGATGTAATCCTTGTTCATCGATTATGTATCCTAGATAATTTATCTTTGTAGCGAAAAAATTTATATTTTTCTATGCGGACGTGGAATCCGTAGTCGTATATGCGCTTGAGTAATTCATTTAAATTATAATCATGTTCTTCAATTGTTGATCCTCCAACGATGAGATCATCAATGTATGCGAATACTTTGTCAAGACCGGCGTCCACAATGGTTTGAAATTCAGGAGTCACAGGGGTGACGCCAAAAGATAAACGATTGTAAATGAAGAGACCGCGGTATGTATTTATCGTCAAAAGATGTTTTGAATCTTCGTCTACTTGGATTTGTAAGAATGCGTCTGGTAGATCGATTTGACTGAAATATTTACAATTTGATAGTTTTGTAAAAATATCGTCTGGATAAGGTAATGGATGACGATTTTCCAAAGAATTATTTAGACCAGTAGAAAAATCATATACGGATTTGACCATTTTTCTTGTGAACGACGACGATTGGTGCTGCCCAATCCGAGTAGCTCACTAGAGAGATCATTTCTACCTGTATAAGACGTTCAAGTCCTGCATCGACCAATGGAAGAATTGAGTAAGCGACCGGTCATTTAGGACGGAATACAGGTCTGGCATCGTTTTTAAGATGAAGAGAAATTTTTGTTTTGCAGCATCCTAATTTAGGGTTGAAAACATTAGGAAACTTTTGTGGTAAGTCTTGAAGTCGTGATATGATTGCAAAAACTCTTAATTGGATTATGCCATAAATCAAAGGCATGTAGCCAATCTAATCCAAAGAGATTCAATTCTGTGTTTGAAGTGATGTAGCAACGTAATTGACGTGAAACGTTATCTAATGAGATTATGCAGTCGACTTCATATAAAATGCTTAACGTGTTACCTGAAGCGTCCTTTGCGATACGTTCGGTTTACCCTCGGATGGTTGACCTAAAAGTTTCCATGTATCTTCTGAAATTATCGTGATGTCAGAACCGGTGTCCAACTGTAACTTAACTGTTTTGGAATTTATCGTAACATTGACGTATTTGCGCAAAAATGTCTCGTTGATTTTATTTACTGCTAATATTATAGATTTTGTATGTGTGGACGTGGAATCGTTATTAATCGAATTGCTCTTCGTTTTCTTGCTTGAATTACAATAATCATCCTTGTGACCTACAGTATTGCAATTTTTACATAGATGATTTTTGTATGTGCAATCTTTAGAATAATGAAGCTGACCGCAAAACCAACAAGGCGTAGAAGGTTGTTTTTTATTTTAATTTGAGTGGTTTTGTAATTTTTTGTTTTTACTGTATTTTGCAGTTTCAATTTGTTTCTATTTAGATTGGACTGCAATTATATTTAGTGATTTTTCATTTTGAACTAAAGAAGTGTCAGTCTGTAAGTTGAGAAGATATATCCCTCAGACGTTCCATAGTAAGATCCTCTAAAGAAATAGTATTTGGTTTGGAATCGATAAAATTCAAAAGTTTGATGCGGATGTCAGTAGGAGAGCGCAATCCACATACAAAAATTAAACATTTAAATTTTGATTAGCAGTTATCTTTGAGATTTGGAAATCTCTTCGAATTTTTTGTTTATCTGCGCTGCATAAACAACAAAATCTTCGTGTGGAAATTTTATAGTATTCATGCAGTTGTATCGTTGATTAAACAATGAAATCTTTTTTCCGAACATTTGTTTGAGCTTCTTAATCATATCTTCTAAAATGAAATCTTTCGATTGACTGGGTAGGATGTAATCGATATATTGTTTATGACACATTGTATTCAATTTACGCAACAACAGCCTTGGCGGCGTCGTCAAGGTCTCGTGCATCGACGTTAAATAATCCTTCGTAGCGAACGAACCAAACTTCGAATGTTAATTCGTATTCTGGATCGTATACGAATTCTTTGATGCTGCTTGTGAATGATTCAGTCTTCATCTCTTTATGTGAGGTTATGATTGATGAAGCAAAAGCTTGTGAAAGTTGAGCAGCAAAAGTATTTTGTTGTTGGATGAAAAATTGTTGCTGTTCTTTAAGTTGAGCTTGTTGTTGTTGCATAAAGGTTAGAAGGGTTTCCTTTTTAAGGCTTTCCATGTCTCCGACATGGTCGGAAAAGCTTATGATCGAGAGTCACAATGTGATCGATGCAATGACTGTTGTTCAATATCTTTTTCCTCGTCACCATTGTTATGTTTCTTGGTTGATGATTGAAGAAAACACAATGATTATCAATAAGAGTGATAATTTATTTGTATATTCTAAAATATATTGGATGTAAGGTGAACGAAGCGTATATCAGTTGAGTCCGTTCTTGTTCTCGTTTTTGGTGCTGCTCTCTGTCTTATTTGGCGGCAACAAAATTAAAACCAGTTTAAAATTTAGAATATATCATTACTTCGCCTCGCATATGGATATTAATTAAGAAAATCGAATTCTTAACATGAAATCTAGATTCGTAGTGTTGACAATAGGGCTTACACAAAGCCTTGCTGTCTTATCTTAAGAAAACAAGTACGAATATAGACCCTACCAAATTTTGAAGAGTGTTGATTGGTCCTGGGAAGATGCTCCAACACTCTTTGCCAGAATATAAAAGAACTGCAAAAGGTAGTCAGTCAATCAGTAGAAAAATATAATAATCTTGGAATAAAGTCTGTCACGACAGTCGCATTCGCAAATAGGAACTATATTCGCACTCTCTTTATATAAGTTATCTCACGTTTTCTTCCGATGTACACACACACACACACACACACACACACACACACACACACACACATACATATAAATACTATTTCTTTCTTTTAAAAAATTAATAAATGACAGCATTATTGAATCAATTTCAATTTCATTTAAAGCCGGGCCGCGTGAGATATCATAACCTTCGTAACCCTTGCCAGGCCGGAATCTAAATTTATCCTATAAATTATTATCCATTCTTTCCTTGTGATTATTTTCAATCATCGCTCAACCTGATCTCCAATTCCCGGGTAAATTGCTTAAATGCATTGACCTAAAAACAAAGGAACCTCAATTTCGATTACATCATTTAACACATGATTAGTTAAGACTGTAGCATCAGGGTTTTAATTTTTTAGTTTTCTTTTTACATTAGTTTTTTTTCGAGAAATAATTTTTGACAGCTGTTATTATATTATGTCCAAACCCTTGAAAATTTAGTCAAGGAGACAATGAGGGAGAATGGAGAAAATATGGAGAATATATAAGGACGGTTAGATTCAATCTCACAGGTATACGCACAGAGGCGAACAGCTGTGAGTCGTACGCACCTTTTCGACCGGAATATGGATCGACGTCCCGAAAGCCGTTCGAACAAGCGAGTATCGTAAACTGATTGCATCCGTGTAAATGGTAATACTTCTGGAATCGATAAGAGAAGACAGGTCCTCCCCCCTCTTTCCAAGAATTTCGAACATGCGACACGTTTTATCAAGTCTTTCTACGTATTTTCTTTGTCACGAATTTATATTAGGTGTTGGAATTAATTCGTAGCGTTTTACAAGTGATGGGAAGTACTTTCATTAATGTATTTTTTAATGCTCATGTGAAATAAATAACATTCTTTCATTAAAAACGCTACGAATTAATTCCAACACCTAATACATACGT